GATGTTCCCCACCTGGCCTGTGCACCCACTCCTGCTGACAGAAGCATCAGTGGGTCATACGGACATCCTCTCGGAAGAAGACACGTGCAACACTGTGCTCCAGTGTAACCTCCTCCAGGAAGCCCTCCTGCACCTTCCAGGGAGTTCTGGTGAGCCCTGAACTCCCTACTCATCAGAGAGACCCCAAGGAGAGTATTGAGGTCTGCTAGTCCTCCATGTCCTGCCTGCCCTGAGCCTGGAACCAGCCTGGCTCAGGTAGGGACCTGTTCTCCACCAAGTCTATGTAACAGAGTCCCTGAGGTGCCTTCAGGCCAGCCCTAAAGGTGGCCCAACCGACTTCTCCATTCAGGACTGGTTGACATCTATTATGGGCTAAAAATTGTGCCCTTCTCCCCCAAAATTCATAACGTTGAATTCCTAACCCCCAGGAACTCAGGATGTGACTACAGTCATCCCTCAGCATACCTGGGGGGGACTGGTTCCAGAACCCCCTCATATAGCCAAATCCACACAAACTCAAATCCCACGTCATATTCCAAAAGCCTGCCCTCCGAATATGAGAGTTTTGCATCCCACAAATACTGTATTTTCAATAGTGTTTGGTTAAAAAAAAAAAAATGTGTGTATAAGTGGACCCACAAAGGTCAAACACATGTTGTTCAAGGATCAACTGCATATTTAGAGATGGGAACTTTTAAAGAGGTAATTAGGTTAAATGAGGTGGCCCCTAATCTAATCTGACTGATGTCCTTACAAGAAGAGGAGATTAGGACACAGACAAACACAGAGAGGAAAGGCCATGTGAGGACACACCAAGAAAGTGACCATCTGCGAGCCAAGGAGAGAAGCCTTTTGAAAAAAAATAAACCTTCTGGTACCTTAACTTCTAGCTTCCAGAACTGTAGGAAAATATATTTGCTATTAATATTTAAGTCACCCAGTCTGTGGTATTTTATTACGGTAGTCCTAGCAAATGAACACAGTACCTAACAGACCAATTAAGGAATGAATAAACCCTAGAAACAGCTCTCACTGACAAAAGTATCAGTGGGTTACCTGTTATGCCCAATAACAGAAAAAAAAATTCACACACACACACATAACACTATATATATATATATCATATACAATCACATATATATGATTATTTGCCTTCTGAAATTATATCCCCCATCCACATCAGAATATATGAAAGTACCAAGAATTCAGACAAAATTTACATTAGAGAAATTTAAAAACTCCAAATACTATCCTTCTAAAAGGCGTCACAAAAAAATCTTCTTATAAAGAACATGTTTCTCTAATAAATTTTAGACTGTTGGCTGGCTTTTTAAAATTAAAATTTTTAAATAGCTTTTGATATATCTACTACACAGAGTGAGGTCCGCTAGTAAGCTAAACTCATGGTTTTCACCCCTACTGAGGCCCCTCGGGCTGCTGCAGAAGGCCTGAAGGAGGCCAGTCAGGCAGGCTGCATGGGGATAAGGCCCAGCGTTTCTGACTTGAACCAGTCAGGGTAGCTCCATGGTTACTTTTTCTCACATTGAGGTTCTGCGCACGATTCTATTTGATTAATAATTCCACTGGATTAAAATAAAAAGTATAAAAACCACCGAACTAAGCTATTATTTCAGTTAAACTTGAAAATCAGGATGTGGAAATACGTCTGATTTACAGTTACCATGATTGTCTTCCTCTCTCAACAGAGTATCTCCCAGGAGGGGCACACGCTTACAATTTAAAAATACCTAACAAAGGTAGGGGACGTCGTGAACAGTCTGAAGAGCTTTTCCCCAGCATACAATTGATTAATTATCACATAAAAACATAACACGCAGTAACAGCAATGTTTCCACCAGTAATCATACATGCTTTGCAGTCCGTAGTTGGCTAATCTTTACACTATACTGCTCGCTGGTTGAGCAGGAAAGATGTTCCTTTTTATACGGTAGAAAACTGATGGGAAGAACGTTAATAATCTGAGAGTGAATGCAGAAATCATGCTTAGTGCTCTTCAGGCAATGAGATGGAGCAGACTTAGATCTGAGTCCTTACTCCCTTCACTTACTGACTTAGCATCCTGACTACTTATTAAACATCTCGAACACTGTTTTCTCCCCATAAAACGGGAGAAGAGTAACTACCTAGAAGCTTTGTGAAATTAAAGAAAACACTGCATGTAAAGTACTGAGCTATACTTTGCAGGTAACAGAGGCTCAGCATGTCTCCCCTTTCACACCTGTCCCTGCAATTAACCATGAGTGCTCTTAGAAACGGACTAATTGTGCAGAAACAGCAAGGAACGCTGAACTGTGGATTCCTGCCTTAAAATACTGATTTCCTTTTTTTTTGAGACGGAGTCTTGCTCTGTCACCCAGGCTGGAGTGTAGTGGCGCAATCTTGGCCCACTGTAATCTCCACCTCCCAGGTTCTAAGAGATTCTCTTGCCTCAGCCTCCCAAGTAGCTGGGATTACAGACATGCACCACCAAGCCCAGCTAATTTTTGTATTTTAGTAGTGATCTACCCACCTTGGCCTCCCAAAGTGCTGGGATTACAAGTGTGAGCCACTGCCCCCAGCCTGAATTTCTTTTTACAAAAAGTTTGGCAGTAACATTTAAAGACTTGCTCCTGGCTACATGGGCACCCCCCACATCAATGCCTCTTCTCAGAGGTACACTCCAACATGATCCATGGAGATACGACTGCCTTTCTAAGACCAATCAAGATGAAAAATAGCATTCCTATAGGAAAGATTTTTCATTATCAGTTACAAATCAGTCTTTGAAGTTAGAAATTTCATTTTTGTTTTCAATAATTTGTTTTGGCAATAAACTAATTTTTAACTAGTTTTAGACTAGTTAATTTATACTCACTTTGAAAAAGAATTAGTTTGTTTAGGCAATAAACTAACTGTGTGAGTCTCAACAACACTTTGGAGTATAAAGCTATACACGTAGCAGAGAATCAGTACTCAATAAATGCTTGTTACACAAACAAAGGGAAGATAATCACAGAATTTAAATGTTGAGAAGGAATAGAGAGATTGTAAATGAAACCCTCTGATTTTAAGAAGAAACTGAAGTCCAAACAAAGCAAATGACTTCCCTAAGGTGAGAGAGAGAGATAGATATAGATATAAGAAAGTTATTAGTAACATCAAGACCACAACATAACTATTATTTTAAAGCCAAATTAATCTTTTGATCATCTTTGAGACCCTTAAGTCTATTGTTCATTTCCACTAACATGAAGAACTGACCCCTTAATAGGAAAAAGATAACTGTTGTCTTCTATTTAGTTTTATATTTAATCAAAAGCACTTATTATTCATAACTGTTAAGAAATCAGAGCACAGATGGAAGAGGATCCCAAAAGCACAAACAAGAAGAGTTGTAGGGTAATGTGATAGGGTTTTTCTGGTCTTAACAACCAAATTAAATTACTATAGATGCTTTGATACTAGGGAAAGCAATAGATAAAATTAAACTTATAAAATAAAAACCAGAATTCTTTAAATTTAAAAATCAACACTTATTGATAAAAAAAAAATCCATCAGATCTGGTCTAAGTACGTTCTATTTTTATTCTCACATATTTAATCTTCAAGATAACCATGTGAGGCAAACAATAGTCCCATAATCCCCATTTTACAAATGAGGAAACTGAGACACAGAGAATTAAATAATTTGCCCGAGATAACACAGGATTAAAACCCAGACAATCTGGAGCCAGAGCCCACACTCTTATCTACCATTTTATAATGTTTTAAATTGTATTACTATGTTTTAATACAATATATTTTATTGTAAAGCTAATAATTCATTTTTATTTAATATGTAGTTAGAACTCAAAGTATTTATACAATGCTTATCAAATTTCTAACAACATCGCATGAGCATTTTATTATGTAGTATTTAGTAACACTTGTGTAAGTAGACCACAAAAAGCCACAGGCTATATATTAAGGATACAACTTTAAGGCATTTTCAGAGACTCCTCATAAAAATTAGTTGCTAAGTCAGTCTAACAGATGCCATTATCAGGTCCCAAACTGTTTAGCCACAAAGTAGTCCCTCCTTATCTGCAGGAAATACGTTCCAAGACCACTCAGTGAATGCCTGAAATCACAGATGGTACCAAACCCTAGGATACTTTTCCCTATACATGCATATGTGTGATAAAGTTTAATTTATAAATTAGGCACAGTAAGAGTTCATTACAGTAACCAATAATTGAGTAAAACAATTAAGTCAAATAAGGGTTACTTGAACACAGCACCTCAATACCTCAACAGTCAACCTGATAACTGAGAGGGCTACGGAATGACTAATGGGGCAGGTAGCATCTACAGTGTGGATATGCTGGACAAAGGGATGATTCACGTCCTGGGTGGGACAGGGAGAGATTTTATCACACTACTCACAACAGCATGCAGTTTAAAACCGATGATTTATTTTTGGAATTACCATTTAATGTTTTCGAACCTTGGTTAACCTCAGGTAACTGAAACCATGGAAAGGGAAACCGCAGATAAGGGACTACTGAATATAGAAAAAGAAATGAGATTGCTTTAGATTCTGTTGTTGTTCTGTAATTAAAAGTAAGTTTACAAAACAGTTACAATGCCTTTTTATAGAAAAATATTAATGAAACTGACTTAATTCCAGAAAGGAAATATATATGAATCATGATTAAAAACCTGTATTAAAAGCAAGGTCACTCCCCAGGCCTTGTAACCGAAAAGTGGCCATCAGGTCTGAGACTCTATTCATATTTTGGCTACACCACCATTTAAAGATGAAGGAGATAAGAAACAACCAAAATAGTAATTAGAAAAGGAAATCTAAATCTATTATCATTACCATCTGCAGTTTCTATCGTTGCAGATAAAATTTCTGATGACAAAGTCCATTACCAGTACATGTAAACAAAAGTATTACTGAAACATAAAGAAAACTTTTCTTTGAATTTTCCCACACCTAATTTGTTGTTGCCTACCTGGAATCCATGCTTGCCTCTCCACCATGTGCTTAACACTTTCGGAGGCATGTCAATAACGGAAACAATGTCTCCCACCTAGGAGAATCAAAATTTTAAGCAAAATGGTTTTAGTTAAAATTTAAACCAATTGTTATACCTAGAATTTAAATCTGAACTGTATGAAAGGTAAATTACTATTCATGCTCTGGCCAGTAATTTCCAAAAAAAGTACTACTTCCTTTTAAAAACAATTTAATTATATTATGATTTGTGAGAAAGAGGTCTACAAAAAGTTAAGCAACACAAAGACTGTGATTCAACTAACACATGTGCAGTAACTTCAGAAAGCCAGATTAATAGCATAAGATTTTTAAATGTTAGGCATCACACCATTATCATCACTTCTGTTAAAATATTGTTACTGCTGTCACTGAGAATGATCAGATTCACTTATAAAAGATAATTTTAAATATTCATGCTTAGAAACAATAACAGATTCCCTTAATATTACATTTAGTGGGTGCTTACCCTGTGCCAGGCACTGTACTGAGCTCTTGACATATCTTATTTAATCATATAGAAAAGGGCCTAAGATGGGTTATGCTTAGTAAGTACAAAATTTGATGACAACTACACTTCTTTCAATAGATAGTAAAACATAATTATATCCACTAAAGAGCTAACTTTCTTCACTGTAAAAGAAAAACTAGCGAGTTTATATAAACTCATATAAAATCATAAATATAAAAATTACAATAGTTTTTAATAATATATTCAACAGAAGTTATATTCTTCAATCAAAAGAAATGCTGATATCTATGATAAAACATAGTTAAGAACTTCAGAGCAATGTTACTAACATATACTATAGAGCTTTAGGAATTTTTCTTTTGTATATTCACAACTGATCTTTCAAATCATGTATAAGCCATTTCGTAAAGCCATATATGCTGACATCATCATTCCAAGACCTACATTTCTTTCTGTACAGAACTTAAAAGTTTGAAAACAGTTCAGATTCTATGCAGTAAAAAGCTATATTATTATTTCTTAAATTTAATTAACTGTCAGCATTTTTTTCCTCATTAGCCAATATATATTTTTAGAGGAAAAAATTTAATTCCCCTCCTTTTATATCTGACAGCAAGATGTACTCATTTCACCTTTTATCTGTTCTTTAACTCAATCTTTCAACAATATAGGAAAAAAAAGTACCACTGGGTATTGTTTTTCGGTACAAAAACACAAAAAGACAGACCTTGCTTTCAAAAAGCTCACTGAGACAAAGCGAACAATCATGATTAAATGTAGTAAGTGATGTGTCAGCAATAAGCCATGAGCACAGTTCAGAATGACATTCAATTCAGGTTTTTGGGAGGTATGTATTTGCATGGAGTGAGAGGAGGGAGATCAGGAATGACTTCCCAGACAAAAGAGGAGACATTTAACCTCAGTTTTCAAGGATGAGTACTGTCATTTAAACAAAAATAGAAGATATTACTGGCTGAAAGATAAAGGACTATGGAAAAACCTGGTGCTTTTCATTTTTTTTTAAATTAAGGAAATGGTTAAGAACAGTCAAAGATGAGGCCAGAAAGGTAGCAGGAACCAAATAACAAACAACCTCTTCAGTTATTTACCTCTAAGGTCAGTTCGTCAGGGGCTCGAGCGGTGTACCTCTTGATAACATGGGCAGCACCAACAGCAGGAGTGTTGATGGATGACTCCTCATGAACCAAAAGGTGATTTCCCTTATTATCAATCTATCACAAAGAAAATGTACTCTGAGATAAAGACACTGGACCTGAAAATGCTTCTTTGACTATCTAGAGGAGAAACTCATTTTAATTTAGAGATACAATAACCCAAAGAGTCTTTAAAAAAAAAATCCTACCATTTACTGGGTAGTTAAAATATGCTAGTCATTGTGCTGTGCCTATAACATATATGGTTTAATTTAATCCTCACAACTCTAAAAAATACTTATCATCATTTAAAGGTGAGGATGCTAAAGATGAAAGAGGCTATGTAATTTATGAGAGATTCAATAGTTTTTCCAAGATCTCAATGCAGGTTGGCTCATAGTTCCATATTCTTTCCACTTTCCATCTTGCATTCCCATTTTCCAGTGGAAGGAGAAAACAATATAACTCTACATATGCAAATTAAGAATAAATATGTAATCTATTTACTGAATAACGTTTCACTCAACAGTTACTCTTAAAGAGGACCCTTTAGGAAGTTGTCCCTTGCTCATAAATAACTGAAAAACATTTTCAATTACTAAGTCAACTAAAAAAAAGTACTGAATATATACATTAGTATATTAAACACCAAAACAACAGGTATCATTGATATTCATAAAATATATTAAGATTAGTTTCCAAGATTATCAAAGAAAGATTTGAGATGAAAAAATATTTCCTATATCACATATCTATCCTCCCAGACGATGAGAATACACTCCATTTCTTTGATTCCTGAAGCTCAATAGATATCAAAATTATGTTAATATCAAATTTCTTAAGTAGATAATTTAAATATACATTTTTCACGAAAAGTGAATTAGGAAATACCTCCATCCAGGTAAGGGCGGGCCCACAGTTGATCTTGTTGCCAGCGATAGCTGAAAGGCGTGACAGGTAAGCCATAAGCATCTGAGTGACCGACTGAAAAGAAAAAGATTCAGTGTAACTCTGAGGAAAGATACTATGCTCTCTGGCAGAGAAAACTGATGGTTTCTGGAAGAAAAAAATCTATAGATCTTTAGGCATTTTAATAGTTACAGAGGATTCTTCACAGAAACTTAGTAGTAGCACTATGGGCACTTAATAGTAACTCAGCCCTGTCTCATGCAGAGCTTCAACTTCTAGCCCCTTATCAGCGATCATACTACTCCATGGTTTCTAATTTCATCACTTTCTATTTCTGTACTGAATATGCAAAAAGATAACTATAGCAGATCCATATTTGGCTTTTCTGCCTAGATTTCCCCTACTACTCGGAAACCCTTTTCCCCAAGACCCACTGTCATCTTCCATGCACGTGGCTGTGGCAGGAGCAGCCATGTTCATATGTGATCCTATAGTTTTCCCCTACTCCTTAGAAACACTTTTGCCCAAGACCCACTGTCATCTTCCATGCACGTGGCTGTGGCCGGAGCAGCCAGGTTCATACGTGATCCTACACCATGGTTCAGCTGACTGGTCCAGGAATATGCCCCAATATTAGCTGGACCAATCAAGAGTTAATCCAGGAATTAGGACACAGATTCTAGCTCAGTCTGGCTGCTCCCTTAAAAGGGGATAAAAACCTGGGACCTCTTGGTGGTGGCCATGTTTTAGGATAATCTGAGAGAAAAAAATGCAATAGGAAAATAATGAAATGAAGCAGAAATGAGAAATGCAGACAAAGGGACTTTTAGACTTTCTATGGTACAAAGAGATCCGTGTTTTAAGACACTCCTGAGACCCTGCTGCAGTGTCCGTTATATTTTAACACTTAATGAACCCACTAAATCTCAGAACATTGCTTTATTTAGATCTGGTGGGGGGAGTGGTTTACACCAACTTTTCATTATTTCCTTGCATCCACTCTCTCCTCCTATAACTCCCATCAGCAGAAACCTCTCTGGACCTATTCTCCATGACTCCCAACTGTTCTCTCACAACTTGTTAACTTTCTGTCCCTTCCAGGGGTTGTATTCTTATTATAAATGACTTGGTTTGACCACCCAACTCCCTGATTTTCTCTTCAGCTGGGTACATTCTGCATGGAGTTCAGTCATTCAGGTTTGCTCTTATTAAAATTAATGTAAATGATCCTATATTCGTTTACAACATCTCTGATTTTATTTATTTAAATCCATTTCATGGATGTGACAGCTTCATTTTCTCTCAGAGGATAGTAATCATCCTTCAAAAAGCCTTGTTTGTACCTCTCGGTTATTTTATTTCTTCAGTTTCTATGTGTAAACTTTCTAGTCTCCTTATGCTTTGCAGTCATGCTGCACTTACATGTTTAGGCTATATTTACTCTTCCCCATAAACCTTATCCCATCTGCTTTTAAAGATTCCTCACAATTTTTGATTCCCTGATGGTACTTCTGGTGTAATGATGCTATAAAGAACCACTGTTTAGAAATCTTTTATGTTTTTACTAGACATTTTTTGCAGGGGTGAAGGTAGATGCATACACCCAGCATGCTGTCATAAACTACTCAAACAACACTGTTTTAATATGGATTTCTTTGATCATGAAAGGCAACGTTTTTCCATATTTTTGCTTCCATTTTTATGTGCTCTCTGCAGAATGATTTGCTCATATATATTGCTTGTTTATATATTATGAGTTGTTTTCCCTTATAAAATTATGCACTGAACCTACTCTTATTCTAAACATTATAATTTAACATAATTCTAAACATTATATTTAACATTACTAATTTTTCAGTTAAGAAACAGGCAAGTAGTCCCAGGAGTCATCCTGAGTGTTCAATATAAGCTTTTGTTTAGTATACAGACAAAAATTTCTGCAAACTCATATACAGTGATTACCTCTGTACTAAATGTACTGAAGTACTAAATGCTTACCTCTGGACTGTCCTTCAGGGTGTCAGAACGGGGAAGCTCTGAGAGCTGGGAAAACCTTCGGTCATAAATACATAGATGAAGATGTTTATCAAGTACCCGAAAATCTTCATAACTTCTTTTAACGATCCAACTTTTTCCCTATTGGTAGAAAAAAGAAACTCATATAATTCATCTCTATTGGGAAATACTTAAGAATCAGGCCTTATTCTATAATGTTATTTTATTCATGAGATTTTATATTTTCTAATGAGAAGTTTCTATTAACTTGATAGTTAATAGCTAAAACTGCGAAACACTCTAATGAGTTATATTACATTAAAAGGCCAATAATGGAAAATAAGACAGAACTCTCCACCAACCCTGTTCCTACTGCTGGTCAAAATCCACTGCCTCACTTTCAGAACAATAACTGCTAACTGGTTAAGATAACATGTGATCTTAAATCTACCAAAAAGAAAAATAAAAACATAAAATAACTTTGGGTAGGAGAATATTAACCAAAATTAAAGAAAAATAAAATCAGGTTTTTGATTTGTTACTACCAACATTTTCTGTGACTGAGATTGGAAATATACTCAAAAATCAAAACTAATGAAGTCTTCCTCTATAAACATTTGATATTCACATAGCATCTAGAAACCTCAGCTCTCCCTGCCTCTCAGGGCTTCTTCCCTTCTTTGCCCAATCTCACAAGCTCATTTTTTAAAATCACATTCCGAAAGGATACTTATTAGATACCATCTTCTAATCTTCTCTCGAATCTATCACTTCTTGTTCAGTCCCATAGCCCAAGCTTCAGTAAGGATCATCATCATTTCTTACCTGAAATATTACTAATATGCTTTGCCTTTGAACTCCTCCCCTGCACACCCAACTACAAAATACAGAGTTTATCAGCTCACACTGCAAGAGCAAGTCCTTCAAAAGCTCCTGTGGTGAGTAATGATGAGCACATCCCAACTGTATAGCATGTAGTTTTGCAATTTAATCTAATTTTACGCAGAGTCTTTCGGCTCATAAAAATCTGGAGGGTCTGAAAGAAAAAGCCTTCAGAGTAACCAGTTCCTCCATCTGCCCCAGACAACTGGAGTGGAAACAGAGGGTATCACCTCATGAGAGGGTGCTGATTTCTAATCACAAGTATATCAAAAACTAACATGACAAACTTGCATAATCCCACTTTGGGCTGTAATCCTCCATGGACATAGACAAAAAGCCATTACCAGCTCCCTCTTTCAGAGCATTCTAAGAATGAAATAATAGATGTGACTGAGACTTCTACACTTGACCTTGGCTGAAAGGCAGAGAAGCAATGTGACTGAGACTTTTGAAGAACAGTGTCCAGATCCATATTCTAAGAGATGCTAATTCACTAAGTCTGGAAAGGGATCCAGTTAGTTCTGATGATCAGCCTGAATTGAGGGCCACTGGTCTACAGGATTGAACGCAAGCTATCCCCACATATCACAGCTTTTATCATCTGGGCCCTGTCTATTTCCAGACTGATCTCACCGGCTACTCCTCCATGCCCTTTCTTGGCTTCCAGTTATATTGAATGATTTGCACGTATTCGATTCATGAGCTGAATGTTCATTTCCTTGCCTTCATGATTCTTTAAGTGCTGTTTGTTCTTCCTGTCATGTTAGCTGTTTCTCTGATGCTTTGCTCAAGCAAACTCCTTTATTTTCTCAGTTCTATCACTACCTTCTACCCAAAGCATTCCTGGGAACCGCCAAGTTATGATGTACAAGCAACATTTTATTTCAAATTTGCCAAACTGGTTTCCAAAGTGGTAACACCAATTTATTCACCCAACAGTAGTATATGAGTTCCCACTGCCCCCAAATCCTTGCAATTCCTGGCATCATCAGAATTTACAGTATGCTAATAAGACAGAGATGAAATGGTATCTTCTTTTAATTTACAATCCCTTGATTTTGAGTGAAGCATAGCATCTTTTCATTTGTTACTAAGATTTCTTTTTGTATGAATTGCCTATTACTACCAAAATCCTGTTCATTTTCTCTATTACAATGACTTTTATGTGTTGACTTCTAGAAGATTTTTGTTTATTAATATATTGGAAAAATAATCTTTATAATTGACATGTATTGTAAAACACTGGATCCAAGTCTGAGACTGTCCCCTCAATTTACAGTACCTCATCAAAAAGAAGGAACATAAAACTTTATTTCCTTCTTTATGAATATAATCACAGATTAGGTAGTTTGCTGAAATTTTCACATAGATACGTGAAAGAACAAGTATGAAAATAAGTATCCAATAAAATAATTTAAATTTTCATCTGAACAAGAAGGCCTTACAGCCATCACCCATAGTATTTCAAATTTATCCATTATATCTTCTGATTTGGGTTTGGCCTACAGTGTTTTTAAAACTGTATTTGAAAACATTTAGGTATAGCATAGCAAGCATAAGTTTGCCAATGTCATTACCACACCCAGCCATTTTCCTTAACTAACATTACCTGTATAGATGCTTAATGTATTTAGATTTACCAACTCCTGAAATAAATACATAGCTAATAGCTTGGCTCTAGGACCACAATGTCCCAATTGTGAATCCTGGTTATTTAAGAATTAAATCAAATAAATCAATGTAAAGTACTTAGTAGTAGGCAGATAGAAATAGCTCAATACATGCTAGCTATTACTACTCTTTATTAATTTGGAGAACTTATTCTGGGCTGAATCTACCAAAAGTAGAAAACAAGGTTTCCAAACAAATTCTCAGGATATTTAGAAGAACAAGCAAGCAGTCACCAATGCTCAACAACTCAAAAGACAAAAGAACATTCTTAACAATTACTTTTCAGCACATCGAGGTTTCACTCAGCTACAAGTCAACATATCTTTAGAAATCAAAGACTGTTTTCCATATTGGCTGAACCATCAGCTTTAGCTTTGGAGAATAAAATCTCAAATTTAACATTATCATGTTGAATAATTCAGCATGCCCTGGTGATCATTCATTTATGTTTTGTTTTTCTGCTCCATTTCACAAGAAGATGTAAAATTAAGCTTCAACTCCAAGCATGTGTACAATTATTCCATGGTATGAAAGGTGAGAAGAGAAATGACCTGTAATTTGGTAGGCTCACATTTATTACTCCTTTTGAAGAAGTGGTCAAGATCACTGAAATGTAGTCCTACATTTTTTGGTGCCTGGTGCTTGTAGAAGAGAAATTGGCTCTGCTTCTAATCCTTTTTCAGTCAACACTCTTTAGGAAATACAGAGTGCTCTGGTGTATTATAAGGTAATCTTTGCTAGTTGGAATATCATTTTCCCCTTGTCTTACATAATAGATTTCTAGAGCTACATAAGTGTGAAACAGAGGAAAGAGAGAAGAAAAAAAGAAAGAATGAGAATAGCAGCCAGTAACTGAGAATGCAGGATCTGAATTTATACTACCCTAGGCTACATGCTAGTCACCTGACCACAGATAACTATTCCACACAGTTTCCTCATCTGTAAAATGGGGAGGCTAATAGCACCCGGGGTTGTCAGAAGAATAAGTGAAACAATCCACATAAGGTGCTTAACAGACTCCCTAGAAACCATTCATGAAATATCAGTTACCACTATTGGTATTTTTCTCACTGTTAAAGCTGTCTGGAATAAAAATAACTTTTGTATGCTATATTGCTCAAGTATCTATCATGCATGGAGTGTAGCAGGCAAATATTAGTTTGATTAAATTGTTAACACTAGAACAATGCCTCCACTAATAAAGATTGATTCTGAAAAAGGTGTTTAAATTTCCAAACTGATCGATTTGGGAGTTCTAAGATGACAGTACAATAATTGATAACAAGATTATAAATAACAGATTTGTATTTAAATTTATGTTGCAATGTCTTACACTTTCTTAGCATTAATTCCTAAAAATGTGACATTAGCAGAAGCTAGGTTAAGGGTAAATTGGATATTTCTGTACTACTTTTATAGCTTTTCTGTGAGTCTAAAATCATTGTAAAATGAAAAGTTAAAATAAATACACACAAAATTCCTAAAAATTGACAGGCTGTACCAATTTTTACTGCCTGGGTCTATTTCAATGCATCCTCACAAATACTAAAAATAATGACTTACAAATTTTCCAGTAGGTGAAAAACTGTATCTTCTCTTAGTTTGCCTTTTATTGACTTAATGAAGCTAAACACAATTTCATATTTCTCAGTCACTTTTATTTCTTCTTTTGTAAAAAAACTATTCATATTTTTGCCAACCTTTCTACTGAGTATATTGTATACTACTACAACTTATAACATCAAACTACAGTATAACTGTATGTTTAATCAAATTATTTGATGGAACTATTAGCCTTTTGAGAGCTGTAACAGTGAGTTACAGTCAAGAAAATTCCTTGAATGTATACTGATGTTATTTATTAAATGGTTTAATACACGATATTGAATTTTCTGCTTAAAAGACCTCAAAAAGAAATTAGTCTTGAATGGGATTATATCAAATTAAAAAGCTTCTGCACAGCAAAGAAAATGATTATCAGAGCAAAGAAAACCTCCACAGATCGGGAAAAAATACATCTTATAAGGGGTTAATATCTGAAATATATTTTAAAAATTCAAAGAATTCTACAGAAAAAAACAAAACAAAAAAAAACCCCAATTAACCAATGGGCAAAAGCACTGAACAGACATTTCATAAAAGATAACATACAAATGGTCAACAGATATTATGAAAAAATGCTCAATATCACTAGTCAGGGAAGTACAAATTAATACCACAATGAGATATCATCTTGCATCTGTCAGAACAGCTATTATCAAAAAGACAAAAGATGGTAAGTGTTGGCAAAGCTGTAGAGAAAAGGAAACAAAGGAATCCCCATACACTTTTGTTGGAAATAGAAATTGGTACAGCCATTTTGGAAAACTATATGGAGGTTCCTCAAAAAACTAAAAATAGAATTACCATATGACTCAATAATCCCACAGCTAGATATATATCCTGAGAACTTGAAATCAATATGTCAAAAAGATATCTGCTCTCCTTGGTTCACTGCAGCCTTATTTACAATAGCGAAGTTATGGAATCGACTTAAGTGTCCATCAATGGATCAGTAGATAAAAACAAATGTGGTGTACATACACAAT